CTTTTTTGAAATTGCTTTTTATAATCCCATATTCACTACAGCAATTTCAAAGAAGGCAAATGACACCAAATCATTTACAGTCACAAAAGAACTTCTGCTTATTTAGTGTAGGCTTGAGGTAATTTTAGGGGAACTTAACTTTCAATGAGTCACACAAGTAAATCTTGCCATTTTGGCCTTTTGGAGAGGCCAAGAAGAAACTTAGATTAGTCCAGGAAAAAATTTTAGTCTGTGTTTAAGTTAGTACTTTAACAACTGCCAAAAGTCTAGCTCACTACCCTAATAACAGCATTGAGTAAATCTGATATGCTATTAGTAATAGTTTGAGAATCCCAAATTCCTTATGCTAGCAATCGCTACCCTTTTTTTCATCATTTTGAAAACTACTTATTTATTTACTGATTCCCCACTGTTGCTTGGCTATGCTCACTGCTAAGGATATACCTATGATTAAGACTGATGAAGTCTCTGGAGCTTGTATTGGAGAGACATATACAAGCAACAATCAAATATGTTAAGAAAGTGTATCAGAGAGTATATGAAGTGCCACAGACACAATAAACAAGGCGATATGACAGAGAAGCTCCAAGGATTGGGGAGGTGCTACTTTTTTATGGAGTTTAGGAAGGGCCTCTTATTATGTGAAATTTGACCTGAAACCTAGATGTGCAGAGAACCTGGGTCTGAGAATTTCAGGCAAAGGGCAAGTGCAAAGGCCCAGTAATAGCGACAGTGGTTTTTTCTTGTTCTTTCTGTTCTTTTCTTGTTTTTAATGAATGGGAATAGAATTTAGTGGGGCTAAAAGGCAGTGCACTTGGAGAAGAATGGTACAGACAGGGCAGTGACAGATGCAGGAGACAAACTATGGCTCATAGGCACGGCAAGAAATTTGCTTTTATTCTAAGAGGAACAGAAAGCTATTGAAGGGTCCAATTTGTATTTAACAATGATGATTTGGGCTCCTGTCTGGTGACTGGAGTGTGTGCGTATGTGTACATATGAGCTGCAGGGAACCTGCGAAGAGTGGAAGCAGGGGGATCAGGTGGGAGGTTCCTTATCTGCAATGAAATCCAGGCAAGAAATGACAATGGCCCAAACCACTCAACATTCATGGGGATAGAGTACAGTGGACAATGCAAGATATATTTGGAGATAGACTTGATGCTAAGAATGGAGGAGAAAGGGGTGAGGGTAGGGAAGGGAGAAGTACAGGTGTCTGAAGTTAGGTGCCATCCAATGGAGCAGAGCCTAGTTCTATTCTGAACATGAGGCTGGTGGTGGCCTGTGAGACAGTGACCTGAGGAGGTCCAGTGGACAGGTGGATAGAGGTGTCTGGAGCCCCGGGTAGAGGTCTTGGCTAGAGAAACAAATTTGAGAGTCAATATTCCATACAGTTTGTGACAGACAACCCAGGCACACATTTGGTAACTAATAAATGCTTATGATGTGACTGAGTGATAGTTGACAGAAAAAGCAGTGAGAATTCTGCATACGGGAAGATGTTTTGCATCTGTTGGCATGGAGTGTTGAGGAAATGCCAGCAGAGCACCAGGTGCTGCGGCTGCTCAATAAATACTAATTTGCAGTGGTAAAGCTTCAAGAAAGCAATGAACTGTTATTTCAGGACCTGACCCTGCCTGGCTTAATTGGCGCCAGAGCTGTTGTTCAGCTGCTTATACCTTCTGTTCTTCATCCTCAGTATCTTTTTTCCTGGTGGCTTAATTCCTGACCTGGGCATCTTGCTTTCTTCTTGATCACTGCCTCTTACCCTTACATTCAGAGCATACTGTCATCACTTTGACTCTGTCCCTAATGACCAGCTCAGAGCCTGTTCTTCACAGGTTTCTGACTCTGCCATGAATCATGAACAATAACTGAGTACCCATTATGCAGCAGGCACCATATTGGACACTTGACCCACATATGCCATTTATAGCAACCCTGCAAAGTAGGTGCTTATCCTTGGGTTAGGCCTTAATCTCCCTGAGAGAGTAAGTGGTTGGCTCTGTGTCAGGTAGCTAGAAAGTGGTGGAGCAAGAAGTCAAAACAAGTCCAAGCTGACTCTGCAGCTGAGCTCCCTGCTTTCCTGGATTCGATAAGTATGTGGATTTTGCCTGCTGAATCAGTCTGTACCCTTGACTCACCCAGCTCCCTAGCAAATTCTACTAGGTAGTTGGTATCTGTTTATAACCACCACGTATCAAGGCAGACTGGCCTACGTCTATACCCTAGAGGGACAGTGTTCCACATCTCTATAATTGCACACTTTGCTTGGTGCTCTAATGTGGGTATTTATCATGTGGAACTGGCAGGTCCTAACCTGGGAGAGGCCCATAGCCCAGGAAGGTATGAGTCATCAGAGAAACAACAGAGATTGAGTATACTGGAGCTACCACGCTAGGGACCAGGGAAGAGTAGCTGGGAGGAGATGGATTGAAGACCAAGAAAAAGGGCCCAGAGCTGTGTAGAAGAGGAATATGTGGGCTCTTAGCTAAGGGATGAGATATAACAGGAAAACGTACATAGAAAAAAATAACTCATTGTTTTAAACAGCCTTTACTGCTTTATGTAAATGTGTAAATAAAGCTTCAATCTCCCTGGCCACAAACTCACACAGAAAGGCTTTCTGTCTTCATTAGGCATGTCTCCCAAGCATGGAGGTGTGTTACAAGACAACAAGACGTATGACTAAACACCATCTGTAGTAGGGGAAACTGTTTCACCATCATGCAAGAGAAAGTGGTGCCTTCACTTGCAGGAGGTCAGCTGCTGTGAGGCTTGGGAATTTGGGCAGTAATTATCTGCAGATAACATCAAACTGGAGGACAAACTAGAGAACAAAGGGAACTGAAGCTACTCCCGCAGACACTCATCTGAGCAGCACCTGTTCTTCAGGCAAACTTGACCTGTTACTATCTGACACCTGCCTGGCTGGATGGGCCCCATGCTGCCTGCTGAGGCAAGGGAGCTGATGAATCTCCATTTCACGTTAGGTTTCGTGGCAGAAACGGGATATGGAATTCTAGAGGAAAGCAAGCATTGACCAGACATCCCTCACTAAGATATCAAATTGGTAAGGTCAAAAGGTGAAGAGCATGGTTTAACAGGCAGACAAGAGGGGAAAGAAGAGACATGGACATCATATCCTTTAGTCACAGCAGATGGCGATGGCACTGCAACAGCAAACAGATACGCAGTGGACCCTCAGCCCGCTGGATGGCAGAAGAGTTTCAGCGGAACTCTAGGGAGAGTCTGTACAAGGATAATCCGAATCGCCTACCTCCACTGCTAACACTCCACCTGCCTTAAGGGACAACTGACATGGTTCCAAGGATTTTGAGAAACTGAGAGATGTTCTCTCTCTCTCTCTCTCTCTCTCTCTCTCTCTCTCTCTCTCTGTCTGTTTCACACACACACACACACACACACACACACACTATACAGAGACAAAATCTTAAATATATGTTTAATTACATCATACTTTTGTTGTCTTCTATTATAATATTCAAAATGCCAATAGCCAAGTCCTTTGCTATATTCCCCACAGCTCAAATAGAGTAGGCTCTCCATATATATTTACAGAATAAACAGATAAATGAATGACTATTTGCTATCTGTTTGCATTTCAAGTTCTGGTGCCTGACCTTGCCTAGTGTCTTTTTATTAATGCCCCTAGATAGAGTCTTTAGTTGTATTCTAATTTTACAAATATTTTTTTCATTGCGACATTTAAATTCCTCTACTTCCTTACACAAGGCAATAATTTTTCTGATGGAGAAACACTCAATAAAAAGCAGGAGTGAAGGAAACTTTAGCAACTTGTGTCTTAATTTGCACTGAGAACACTCTTATTTAGTGCATCTCATTCAAAAATTTGTATTTATCCTATTTTTCTCTCATTTGAAAAAATATTGAATATTATTGGATTTGGTTATTGAATAACAAATATTATTGAATATATTATTTGAATATATTGACCCCAGAGTTAAGACAAGATCAGAGTACGAAATAAATGGAACTCATCCTGGATTTTTCCTTAAGCACCAGATATTTCCTCCTCTCCAGTCATATGGCTGGGGTGAGAAAGTCTACTGTGTCCTAAAATTGAGATGACCTGATGAATTTCATTGCCCTTCAACAGATGTAAAATTTTACATAGAAAAATGTATTAAACCATGATAACTTGGCTCTGAGTATGGGTATGCATGGACATAAGTCTTTGAAACAGGTTCAAAACCTGATCCAAAAAGTACTAATGTTCAAGAGTGAATCTCAAGAGTGTTGGAATTGGAGCCTTTCCCTCCTGATAAGGCATGCATGGCACTTTAAAAGCTATCCGCAGCTCTCTATCTAATCCCAGTGATGACAAAAATAAGCAAGGACCCAGGGGCCTTTGATTTGAAGGATATTAAGTATGCTATTAAAGAAACTGATCAGAATAAAAACAGAAAATAGAGCCTTAGTCCTGCCTTTCAAATCTTGCTGGCATCCCACACTCAGAGAACTGATTAGTGAATTAAGGAAAGTTAGAATTAAAACCTCATCACTTTTTTGTCAGCCTTTATTATTTTAAAATGTCATGTAAATATGACCAAGCATAAAGATTTACTAACTATGGGCACTGAAAATACCCAGAGGTTTATTATTCCCTGTACTTTCTCTACTGTAAGCATTTCATCATAAAAAATGCTAAAAGAATCTAAAGGATATTAACAAAGAAAACATCCAGAATACACATTTTTTGGTGTTTACAAAGGTTGTTTAATTTGTCTCGGTAATGGTTAAAAATAGGAGACATCTGAATCCAAGTTGGTTTGTTAGTATTTTTTAAATAATGTCTGATGTCAAAATATAGATTATGAAGATGTTAAATTTTTCGACACTCTAACAAACGTTAATAGAAATCAACTCCCAGGAAACCTGAAATCCCTCCACTCTCTATGTAGTGCTGACAATTCATCATATTTAACAAGGTGTATTGGAAATAGCTGAGTACTGACCTCCCGAGGACAAATGATTCTCTTGGGACGAGGTGCCTCTTGCTGTAACTGATATACTGCCAAAAAAAAAAAAAAAAAAGACAGAGAGAGAGAAATAATTAGAATTAGAATACCGCAACACATATCAACATGCCTTCAAATATTTCCACCTAAGTACACCTCGAGAATTGCAAATATAAAAAAACAAGAGAATACAGGCACATTTTTTAGACTGGATAAAGTCAGATCATTTATATGGAAATTAGTCATTGTGAATATAAACTTGCAAGATTGATTTTTTTTATTCTTATAAGGCCAATTTAGTTTCATAATTGTTACTGGCATTGTTCATTTTATGGCTTTCTTGGAAGACCAAATGTGGCCAAAATTATTTTGACTATTTTAAAGATGAAATTCTACTTGTGAGTAACTGAGTAGTAAGATCATATAATAGGATTCCTGAATTTAAATGCCGATGTCTCTTGACATACCAGGAAAAGAACTGGCATTTTAAGAGGAGTGTGATTCTCTGAGATGTTAGCTATGTACAAAGATATAACTGATTCTGAGTGAGTGAAACACCAAGCCATTTCTCGCTCTTTTCTCCCTCCATTTTTGCCCTGTCTATCACACTGTGAATTCTCATCCATTTGATGACTTTCCATCCACTGTCATTCCTCTTTCCTGGGTGCTTTCTCATCTTAAATAATAATAACTCCTTCCTAACCTCATTTAAAGACAGACTTTCAGTCTTAGGCATGGAGGAAAGCAGGTCATTGTATATAAAGCAATCTATCAGACAATTATTGATGATTTTTCAGAATATAATGAGTGATTTTTCTGCTGCTCAGCTAGTCTGCTTATTTCTGCTAAAGAGAAAAACTATCCTAAGCAGGTACCTTTGGATTCTACTTCCGTGAAAATACAGGTTGGAAAAAAAAAAAAAGTTGATGTTATCTTCAGAATCCTGAAGAGGAAAGAATTAATTTTAAATGGAATAAATCTACAAAAAGTTTCAAAAAACTAGATCTGACAAAGTCTTCCTAGAAAATGTAATAAGCAAAACTTTCCGATCTATTTTTAGGTCTAAAAATAAAAAAATGTAATTGAAGGGCTGGTGATTATATGAAAACACAGATAAAAACGATGGAATGTATTTTGTACTTATGGCTCCCCATTGTCTTTGGCTGAACGTGGTTATTTTCTTACCTAATTAGTGTAAACTACCTGGTTTTAGCACAGATAAGGAGCTATCTAACCCTCTATACATTTTGAAATGTACCACATTTCTAGGTATAGGTCACCCACACTAATGTGTCACCTAAGGATGACTGTAGTCATCTGTGAAAGGAAAACAGAGTTCAACATAACCCTTTAGCTCAGGACACCAAAAATGACAGACAGATAAAAAGAAGGCTTCTACACACCTGCCTCCCTATAGAGAAAGAGCTTTCAGAGCCCAATGAACCAATACATGGAAAGTGGGACTAGGTGGAGGAAAAATGAATGGCCTTGCACGTGAGATCATCAACCAATTGACACTGTTCACTTTGTGCTATCTCTTTCCATTGGCTTCCATGGCACCACCCTCCTGGTCTTCCTCCTTTGATCCTGGCTACCTCTTTCCTATGCATGTTGCTGCTCCTCCTCCTCCTCTACCTGTCCACTGACCATAGGAGACCCAAGGCTTACCTTAGACCCTCTTCAGGTCTCATTCTCTTTCTTCTCCCTAGGGAATCTCCTCTAACTCTAACACTTCATTTATCTCCTACACACAAAGGCGCCCACATTTCAGCTCAGAACCCTCCTCTAAGCTCCAGGATGTATACCTTACTTCCTACAGATTCCTCCTGACTTTCTCAAAAGAAAAGGGACCTCAACTTCTATATGTCAAAAGTTGAACTCAAGATCTTTTCCTCCAAATCTAGGCTTCTGGGAATTCTGATATCAGTGAAGGAGCCCATTATTCATCCTATTTCTCTAGCCACCAGCATCCTAGAAGTTGTTCATCACACCTCAGATGGTCAGTTCATCAACAGACCTGTCACGTTTGCTTTGAAACATCTCCAAAGTCTGTCGACTCCTCTTCATCACTATCATTAACACCCTACTCCAAGCTCTGGACTCTTCCCATCCTGCAGCCTGTTTTTTCCCTGGTGGCTAGAATGACTGTTTTAAAACAAGACCATGTCACTCCCCTTACATGCCCTCACATTGCTCTCAGAGGAAGATCAAATGCCCCACATGCTTTTGCCTGTCTCCTTCTACAGTATTACCATGTGCCCTCCTCTCTGCTCAGCCAAGTTTGTTTCCTCCCCTTTCCCTAAATATGCAGTGCTCCCTTCAACCACAGGGCCTTTGCATATGCTATTCCTTCTGTCTATGACATCTTCCTCTACTGCTTCTCTACCTCTTGTTATCTGCCCCTTATCATCATGTCCTTAGTTCAAATATCAACTTCATGGAGGAGTCCTTCTTGACATCTCTCACCCCAGATCCAAAGACATCATCCTAGTCTATGCTCTTACAATCCCCTGTACTTTCCTTTATATAACTTATCAACAATTATAGTTCTGTATTTATTGGTGTGAGTTCCAAAAACAATGGTCTCTCCCTGCATGTTGTAAGTCCCACCATGAAGCAAGGCATCATGTTTGTTTTTGCTTGTCTTGTATCCTCAGGTTTTGTCGAGGTGCTATGGATATAAATATAAATAAAACCACAGCCTCTACTTTTAAGAACCCTATCAGCTTTAGTGAGAGGCCCAAATGTTTTTATGAAATAGTATAGTAAGTACAGGGCTGGCAAGGATCATCTTTTCAAGACTTGGTTTACCAATCTTTGTTAGAAGGAAATAGTTAAATTAACTATGGTACGTGTTCTGATGGATACCATCCCCCTGTAATAAGGACTGAGAAAGCTCTCTATGCACTGACCTGGATCGATACCCTTGACATTCTGTTAAGCAAAAAGAGCAAGGTAAAATACACACACACACAACCATAAATACATAGAATACACATTCATTTTAAGAAAGGGAGTAAAATAATAATGTATATTCAGTTTTGTTTACATCTGTATAAAGAAACTCTGGAAGGAACAAGAAAGAAAGAAAAGCATTTACCTTCAGGGGATAAAAAGAAAGACAAGGACAGGAGTGGAACAAAGATTCCTCAATGTATACTTTATGTTGTTTTGAGTTTTGAATCATATGTATTGCTTATTCAAAAGAAAAAGCTATAAGAGATAAGGTCAGAGAAGGCTACTTTTAATACATGAGGAAGAGTTGGCCAATCAAAGACAGAGAAACAGTTGTGGACATTCCTCTGGCTACCCCAGTATAGCTCATGCCCTCCTTAATCACCAGGGAGGCTACATGGAATTCCTTTATTCCTCTGGAATCACTCCCAAAACTACTAAGCTGCTTTTTAGCAGGATGTTACTGCTAATGAGCATGCAATGGCCATCTCCTAAAATCGCAGAGGAATTGCAGAATTCACATTCAGAGAATCCTGCCCACTCTTCTCTTCCCATTGTCAATGCTTCTAGAAGCCAACAGTGATATATGGCTGAAATGGCTTTGTGAATACCATTTTTAATGGAGGTGGCAAAGGAAGCATACCTGTTATAAAAGAGAAGCATTTTTAGCTAAGTGCTCCTTTGCAATTCTTACAAGCAAATATGTGAGCATCTGCTATATGCCAGATACCACAGTTAGCATTATGTGGAGGCTTTCAGAATGAATGGAGAGTCTGGGAGAAGAGAAGGGCACCAGCATACCAAGTGCCTGCCATGTGTCAGGAATAACATGTATTAAATCTTCTTAAGGAACCAGAAAAAATAACTTTGTGTCATTATCATTCTGGATAGGGGATGAGGAACAGTGCAGAGAAGTTAAATATTTGCTCCAGGGCAGGGCATAGAGCTAAAATACATACTTTTGATTCCAAAGCCCCTGGTTTGATTGTTGGTCTATTTTTTTTTTAAGAGATGGGGCCTCACTATGTTGCCCAGGCTGGAATCAAACTCTTGGGTTCAAACAGTCCCCCTGTCTCCACCTCCCAAGTAGCTGCGAATACAGATGGGTGCCATCAACCCTGCTTCCCTGGTTTATATCTCCCATGCCTCAGGGCTTTTGCAGTTACTGTTCCTTCCATCTGGATTACTCACTCCCAAGATATACACACGGCTCACTCTCTCCCTTCATTCAAATATCTGCTTAAATCTCACCTTATCAGGGAGGTCTTCCCTGACTTGCCTGTATAAAATTCCACCCTATCCCTCTGTTCCCTTACATAGTTTTAAGTTTCTTCACAGCACTCATCATCATTAACACAATTAATAAACAAGACATAAATATTGTGTTTATTTATTTTGTGTACCATCTCCCTTAACTAAAATGTAAACTCTTTGAGGACAGGGACGTTGTTCCGTGCACTGCAGAATCCCCAGCATCTAGAACAGTGCTTGGCACATAGTAGATGGTGGTGGTGGTGTTGTTGCTGTTGTTGTTTGAGACGGAGGCTCGCTCTGTTGCCCAGGCTAGAGTGCAGTGGCACAATCTCGGCTCACTGCAACCTCCACTTCCTGGGTTCAAGCGATTCTCCTGCCTCAGCCTCCCAAGTAGCTGGGACTATAGGCACGCATCACCATGCCTGGCTAATTTTTGTGTTTTTGTAGAGATGGGGTTTCACCATATTGGTCAGGCTGGTCTCGAACTCCTGACCTCAAGTGATCCACCCGCCTCGACCTCCCAAAGCACTGGGATTACAGGCGTGAGCCAGCATGCTCAGCCTTGTAGTACATGTTTAATGCATATGTGTCCCTTTATTCCCCTTTAATCAGCCCAATACTACTAAGCTGCTTTTTAGCAGAATGTTACTGACAGTGTGTGTAGCAGGAGTCAAAGGGGCCATCTCCTAGAACCACAGAGTTCTAGATCTAAGAAGGACTATAGAATTCACAGTGAGAGAATCCTATTCACTATTCTCTTCCCATTATTAATGCCTCTGAAATCAACAGTGATATGTGGGACACCATGGGGAACTAGACCCTGAAGCTCACACTTTAGGCTTCA